ACCCTAGACCAGCGCGAGTTAAATGGTACGCGGTTGACGTAAAGGGTGGCGCAGGTGTCCGCGGAACTAGGGCAGGGCAACCGAGGCAATGATTATTGGAAATAGGTGAAAAGTGCGAGCTGGGGGACTAAAATTGGCGCGCGAACCAATTCCTGAATCTAAGTCGAGACGTGCCGCACGAAAAAATAGTATGCCTACTGAAAAGTAGGGAGTAGTTTTTTAGTTTAAAAAATGTTTGGTCTCACCAATCCTACTTGCCAGCTTAACACACAGCGATAAGTGCCAGCTCCAGGAAGCGTCGTTCGAAAGCTAGCTCTGGACCGTCTGCGCATTTTGAATTTCACTCACTGAGCGACGCCTTGAGGTCTCCCATAAGCAAGACGTCAGGTGGAGCAGGCAATCTTGCTAGGTGTTCTAAAAGCCTATCGTCAGCCTCAGGGTTACTTATTGGTGGAAGATATACGTCTGATTACACAACTCTGGGTGCAACGCTCACCTTCTCGCCTCTGAGGGCTGTTAGCTTGTATGTACCAGTATCTGCCGGCCAAAATCCGCTCTATCCAATAATTTCTCTGAGAACTCCCGCTCTCTGACACTCCCGTCACCGGCCAAAATGGCTGCGGACGCAAGTTCTCCTGGCTGTCAACTTCCTGCAACCTATTCTCTACTAGCTCTGTACAGAATATACTATTCCTCCCACCTGACGTACAACTCCTTATTTTTCCACACGGAACCATCCATGAAGATCGCAGCGGCAAGTGTTTTCCCCATTATCTCTATCAGCTGAGCATAAAGAACAAGTTGGTGCAATTAAGCGGGACTCAAAACCCATTATCAAACTGCCCACATATGTTCGGACAAGAAGGATCCTACCCGTCAAAGTGGCTGTAATCTCTTCAATGTCGAACATGAACTGTAGCGTATGTCTCATTAAAATTTCAGACAAAAGGCTTATTAATCTTCTACTACCAGCTGTGAACATTTGATTTAGCACATATCTTCATAATTGCATCCCGTCTACGGATTCGCATATACTCATACACCAAATCTGGAACTTTACAACTTTGTCATAAGTATCTTTTTAGCACTATTTGTTGTTATAATGGCGTTTTAGTCTTTTAATTAATGGGTAGAAAAACATAATTACACTGTGGAAACCGGATAAAGATAACCTTCATTGTACTTTAATACTAGGATTTCAATTTTGTTTAAGTCACTTATTGACCGTGTGGAGGCTTACTCGGTTGTGTCAACATGGGTGTAAGTGTGAAATCGCGTGAATTTATTATTTTGCTGATTTGACGAATGTCTTATAAATATATCCACTAATTTAGGTCAGAGGAATTCGAAAACACTTGAAGCGTTTAAATGCACCGAAGCACTGGATGCTCGACAAGTTGGGGGGCAACTTCGCTCCCCGACCGAGCACCGGCCCTCACAAACTAAGGGAGTGTCTTCCCTTGGCCATATTCCTGAGAAATCGATTGAAGTATGCTCTCACCTATGACGAGTGTACTAAAATCCTCAAGCAGCGCCTCGTGAAAGTCGACGGCCGCGTGCGTACGGACAGGAAATTCCCTGCTGGATTCATGGATGTTATTTCGATTGATCGAACAAACGAGCACTTCCGTCTTATCTACGACACAAAGAAGCGCTTCGCTATCCACCGTATCCACCCGGAGGAGGCTAAGTACAAGCTTTGCAAGATCCGTAAGGTCTTGACTGGGCCCGGAAACGTTCCCTATATCGTCACTCATGATGCTCGCACAATTCGCTACCCCGATCCGGAAATCAAAGTTAACGATACCGTCCAGATTGACCTTGCTACTGGAAAGGTTCTGAACTTTATCAAATTTGAGCCTGGTAAGTTGCTGATTACAACTAACTTTTCCGTTTAGGAAACGTCTGTATGGTGACCGGCGGTCACAACTTGGGCCGTGTTGGTGTCATTACCCAGTGGGAGCGTCACCCTGGCTCAGTAGAAATGGTGCACGTTCGTGACAACACAGGACACCAGTTCGTCACCCGGCTGAACAACATCTTCATTATTGGAAAGTCCAACAAGGCCTGGGTTTCTCTTCCAAAGGGCAAGGGCATCCGCCTTAGCATCATTGAGGAGCGTGATCGTCGTCTAAGAGCTAAGCGTCATGGTCATTAAATTTCCCTGATTCAAACGGAAAACGTCTTTTTTCTACTCAGTCATACTCAGGGTCTAATCGAGTATGTTGTACTTATTTAGCATCACGCGTCTTGTCGATTCCAACTTCACCCATTGCCATCTGTTGAGACTATTT